CCCGCGGTGCCCTCATCGCACCGGGTGTCCGCGCTCGGGCCGGGCAGAGCGCTCGGGGGGAGGAGCGGAACGCGGTGTTGGACGCGGTGATGCGAATCAAGGCTTGTTCCCGCGCAAGCTGAGCGCGTGGTCTGCTAAGAAACGGAACGGTGAAGAGGGGGATTGCTGCGGGAGCTCTGACTTCTCCGCTCGTGTGAAACGTCTGCTCCAGGTGCTGACTGAGGGTCCGACTTACCCCAACCAGCAGTAATAGACGGGAACGTTATCGTGTTTTTAAACTCGTAGGCTTACATGTCTCCCTGCTTAGCTCATGCCACTACTGTGAAACAGATTCATAACACCGGCAGTAGAAGGTGAAGTTAAGTTGTCATAAAGAAATAATACAGGGTTGTGTTCGCTTGTGAGAATTACTATTTCCAGTTGAAGGCTGAGTTCCCGAGTTCATTTCTGGAATCGAGTCTGGACTGCTTTACTGCAGGGAAGCCACCTCCTGGGACATGTTGGCTTGGGGGTTTGGTTCTGGTTCTGGGTGGAATGTGTTGGTGAGAAGAAATAACTGTAAAATGTGTACAGTTAAACTCAAGGGGATTTGTTATGCAGTGACCATGGACAGTTCTGATATGAATGAAAATCGTAGGGAAATGTAGAGTGTTTTAAAAAGAGAGGAAAAAACACCAGAAAAACGTGAGAGAAAGGGACACAAGGTGCTGGAGCTGTAACTTCTGTTGTGTTTCAGAGAAACCCCATCCAAAGGGTTAACTGGGGGGGCTGAGGGAGAACAGGCACCTGGGACCTCACACCCAATTGGCAGTCTTTTGTAATATATAATTTGCCTAAAATTGCTCACTGAGCACAAGCTTTTGTTTTCTAATTGATTTACGGTTTGAGCCACTTTTACCTCATCCCCTACTGTCCTGCACACAGTGCCAGCAAGTACATTACAGTGAGAAATGATAAATTACTGTGCACTTGTGATGCTAATGCATCAAGAGTAAAAAAACATGCATACTACATGGAGCTTCATGCATTAAGAGTGTCATGCAAAGACAGAGCTATGCAAAAAATCATTTGTAACTTCTGAAATAACCGTTTGATCATTTACTTCAATTCATCTCTGAGAACTAATTGAACCTGAAGGTTAAAATTTACGCTGTTATGGCTTTCCATCTGTGAATTGGAACAAAGTTCTAAAGAAGGTGTGTAAGCGCTTAAAGCTGCCTGTGTTTTTTAAAGTTTTAATGAGCTAATTGATCAGGAAAGCTACAGGTATTGCAGTTTCTTAAAGCCTTTTTCAAATCTAAATATTTTGCTTGTGTTGATGACAATTACAGTATGCATTCCTAAAGGGCATTGCTCAATTTTTAGGTAGGAGCATGTGTAGATGGATTAATGCAGATACTATCTAATCAGTGTTTGTCACCAAAACTATTCAAATATTTTAATCTGATTTGTTTCAGAGGTATAGTGCAACTTTTACTGAACAAGTATAAAGGAAGAATTGAAATTTTTGTATATTTTTTTCTTGCATTTGTGAAATACTGTGCTGATATCCCAGAGAAGAGGAAAATGTGGAAGTTGGTGAGACCCAGTGTGTGCATATTGTCTGATTTCTCTCCCCCACACTGCATCAAGGGCTGGATTTTGTTTTACCTTCACATACTCAGTCCACCTTAAATTATTTTTTTTTTTTCACAATGTCTTTGGGTTCCAGTCTTGAAATATGAAGAAACAGATTTATGGCGGCTGCTGGGCACAACAAATTAAGTTGACAGTGATGTATGAGAGCATAATAGCATGATGATCCCTCTGTAGCGCGGCTGGACGCCTCCTGCTTCATTTGGCTCTTGTTAGGATCTGTTAGGCAGCTAAATAATGAAATTCTGCTGACTGATTTCTGATTTCTCTTTTCTTTCTCTTTTCACCTTTTTCTGAAACTTGCGTTACCCAGACCAGCAAACTGCCCTTAAAGGATTCTTTCACTTACGACGACTACAGGTTGGTCTGTTGTTTAATTTCTTAATAAATAAATAATAATTATATATTTAATAAATAAATGATTTCTTAATAAATATGCAGATTTTAATTGTTACAAAGGAATAGTCATTATGAGCAGTTAATTTAGCTAACTGCCACATGTAGTCTGAGATTAGGACAGTAATTCGTTGTTTCTGAAGAAAATACTTCTGCTGATGTTGCAGGAGGTTTGGGTTTAATTTTTTTAAATTACTTTTTTATTTTTATAAAAAGGCTTTACCATCACATGCTAGTAAAAACTAGTATTTACAGTGTCTGTTGAACAGGAAGAGCTGGAGAATTTAAGTTGTACATGTGAAGCATAAGTGTCACTTGGAGGTGCTAGAGGGAGTGACTAGGTAAAAATAAGAATAATTAAGATAATGAGAGTTTTAATTCTGTTAAGTAATTAAAGCAGCATGAATAAAAGGTATTCATGAAGTCTTACAGGGACTTTTTTAGCCTAGTTGTGCTTCTGGGTAAGTGTATGAAAGTGAGGTTTCCAAAGCATGCCCCCTTCCCTGATAGGGTCCCTGAGGAACAAACCAACTTGCATGTGAAGTGGTCTAAAATTTTGGAGATAAATTACAACAATTAAAAAGAAACATATTGCTATGATATTTAAAATAACGTTTGTATATCAAAATTATCCACAATTTTAGTTTGCTTTTTAGAAATCAAGTAGATTTCAATTTGACAGTATCTTTCTAAGCAATCTGTAATCCATCTGAAAGTCTGATTCTGTATATTAAGTACTTGGAGTCTCTGCAAACTAAAGTTATTTTGACCTTCTCCTGGTGGTATACTTTTTTTCCCTAAAAAACCTATAACAAATATATGTATTAAGGTCAGAAGCAATTTTTTTTTCCTCATTTAGCATTTATTATTAATTTTTGTCTGAAATAAACCCAAAATTTTAGAAAATACTGAAACGTTAAGATTTTCTTGGGTAGGTAGCTGGCATTCTATTTGCTTAACCTGGCTTAGAAGGGGATTGAATGATGTCCATGTGCTCTGAATTATGTTACACTTTCATCATTCTTTTAATCTGGATATCTGTTTGGAGTATTGAGGTTTTTTCTCCTCTTTATTCTGTTAAGGAAAAAAAATAGCAATACTGATCTAAGCCAAAAGTTCGCAAACTGAAGAGAAGTGCTTACCAAAATAGCATGTATGTACCAGGTGATGACGCTAGTTTCCAGTTCAGGCAGTACATAAGCTTTCTAGGGACCAAGGGGAAGAATACATTCTGGCTTGTACAAGAGTCTGCGCATAGATGAGAGTTACTGCTGCCAAGCAGTAGCTGTGAGCTACTCTGAGGCCTGCAGAACTAGCTGACCCCGGGTGTAGGATGTGTGGTGAGAGGTGTGTGTGCAGTGAAGGGTCAGGGCAGCAGAAGGAGGCACAGGAGTGGGCACTGGCTGAGGTAACAGAAGGTAGGAATGTTCTGTTGCAGAGTGCAGAAGAAGGGCGGGATTAAAATCATGGTTTGGGAATTGGTCTATGTGCATGTCTTGGAAACCTTAAGACCTGCTCCTTCTCCTATGGTTACTATAGTCAGTGTGATCTTTAAGGAAACTAAATTTGGAAACTCCCAGCCTAAATGGTTGCCTCAGGTTGCACTACAGTCACTCAATCATATTTTGATGTTTTGAGCATTGATCATCTAATGATTTTAACTTTTGTAGATGGGCAGTTTCCTCCGTTATGACACGGCAGAACCAGATTCCAACAGAAGATGGTTCCAGAGTTACATTGGCTCTAATACCTTTATGGGACATGTGTAATCATACTAATGGACTGGTAAGGATTTCTTCAGTGTAGCTGAAAAGCTTGAGGGCTTAAGTATTAAGCCTTTCAACTGCCATAGAACAGTTTAATGACACTTTTCATTATGCTTCTTAACACAGGTGTTTTATCTTTCCAAGTGACTCTAAAAAACTAATATCTGAAGGAAAGGTTTGTCTGTTCCTTAAGTATCTTACAATAGCTTTTCAGGTAGAACTTTCTTCATCTAGAGAAAACTTTAGAAGTGGTTGGACACTTAGAGTTATGCCTCGTACATGTATAATGAGTTTTGTTCCTGTTTCCAGGCTGAAAAAGATTCACAATACTGGACAGATCTGTTCTGAGAACAGGAAAGCAGACAGTGATGGAGGCTGCCTCTTGTAGCTACCACTAGGGAAAGTGGTTAGAAATTTGCAACTGAGAAATACTGCCTGCTCTCCTAACCATGCCCAAAGAGCCTTGTTATGGAGACAGCAACAAAAAGAACAAAGCCTAGTTCAACAAAAACAGAACATCTCTCACTACATCAAAGAAACAAAATGCAAAATACAACTTTAGGGCATATTAAATATTTAAAAGGTGACATATGTATATAGAAAGCCAGACCTGTTGACATTTTGGCTTTCGTGAGCTAGTTCAGAGCACGAGGTCTTGATTTCATTAACAGGCTAGTTAATGTCGAAGTGAGGAAGTGGAAAGCTGTAAGAGGATGGTTTATCAATGATATTTAGGCAATCTCATGTATGCTTCAAAGTTCATACCCTCCAATTGTGTTTCCAGTAGATAGTATTATTTATTGTAAGCAATGAATATGACCATACTATTCAAGTAATCTGGCTCTTTTGTGGGAGAGTTGACCTGCGGGTTAGGACAGCAGCATATGTTAGTATTGCTGGTATAAGAAAATTGTAAAGCAAGTAATTTCTCACTTGACATTTATGTAATTTATAATTAGTATGACTGTACCAAATATAGCACTTTAGGCTAGGTTACAAAGTTGCAAGTGTTTGGGGTTTTTTTGTTTATATATTTTCCTTATTAAAAGGTTCTTTAACAGTGTTGTTCTATAACAGTGTTGTTCTTTAACAGTGATTCTTGCCTTTCACTATTTGTTATGCAATCTCATAACTTTGATTTAGTAATAAAGCTTGAATGAGAGTTTTCAATATAAAGAAAATTCAGGAAATTATAAAGAAAATTCAGAAATGTATGTTTTTGTAATGTAAGTCTTCGCTGCAAGCATCAGTACTTCCTGTACCCTTTTCCTGCTGGGCATATCTTTCAGATGCTTTTGCAGAGACTTGTCTGTATTCATTAGACAACTCTTAATGAATGCCTTCAAAGTTGGGATTAGAGAAAAAAGGAAGAGAATTAAGGTTCTGGGAGGGAAAAAACTAAGTAGCCTATATTAAAAGAGCAGCTCGTTATGTTGTTTTAATCATTCAAACTTCTATTTAAATTGATAAAGTAGTTTTTATTTTTATTGTGCTCTTTAGCAGTGGGTTTGATATGGAGCCAGCCTCTGGAGCTAAACCTGCTAATGCAGTAGTATGGCAGGGTTGGAAGCACTTTTTTATGCTGAAGTGTATTCTAAAGGGCGGGAGGGTGGGGTACTGCACTTAAGTATTTTGTATGTGTATACAGACTTCACTCATTTGTTTCATATTTCTACAGAAAATAGTTTAAATGTCTATCCTTCCTAAATCTGTAAACAACTGTAATATGGATAATGGGTTAAGAAAAGCTACTAAACCTATTTTTGTTGTGTGTTGGTTTCCTTCTACTAGCAGAGATGGGGGAAAAACTGCTAAGATAACTAAGCTGTTAAGACAACTGTAAGCTGTCTGTATTATAGTCTATATTATTGTAGAGTGAGAAGAGGGTAGGTTCTACTCTAATCATAGTGCATCCCTTGAAAATACATGAAAGGAATTGTTCTTCATTGCAAGAAACTAGGAAACAAAAGATGGCATAATATGTGCCCGTCTAGTCTATTCCAAATGTAGTGCTGAAATACTTCTCGAGTCAGTCAGCTACTGTATATCCCTGTTCTTGCTTTATTCCACAGGGCCCCTTTCCGTGGGCTAGATAATAAAATGCTCTTTGGGTTTTAACTGGAGCTAGGTCCATACAGCTTTTTTGTGCTTCTGACACTATTAATTAGATCAACCTGGCTCTAAGAACTATATCAAAATGGCTGTCTTCATGCATTTCTCATTGTTATTCTTTAGTGGGATTGTATTTTGACAGTCAGAGGTTGATTACCAGTTCTGACAGAGATTTGAATAAGCTACATTTTGCCCGTTGGGCTGGGTCCATCCTTAATCACTGACCAAGCAGACTACTGCATGCTTTATCACAACTTGAAATTCATGTATCAGTCTGCTTCAGAAATAAAACTGAAGGGATGCAATTTGTCAGCTATCATGTGGGAAGAGAAGTAAACACCCTGTTAATTCTCTTACATGACTACTATTAAAAGAAAGAGGAAATAAGAGTCTAGCACTCCATTATGTTTTATAGAAAAGCCTTTCAGAAGCACTGCTGTTTCTAGTTTTTTTGGTGTGTGCAGTTTTTGTATTTGCCTTTATGGAAGAAAAAAAAAATTCAAAAAATGAGCAGTGTTCTAGTGGAACATGCTTCAACCGACAGAACCCTTCTCTTAAGAGACTGGAATTTTCCCAGTCCTTGAAAGCCTCCTTTTCCACAGGCATTTCAAGAGACTGGGGTAGACTTTTCACATTCAGAAGTATTTCACTGAGTTTACACAGCAAGAAAATTTTAGGCTGTGTTGTGTAGCTCTCGTGTTCTTTCTGATCTCGATATACCACAAACACATAGTAGACCTGTGGTGGTGGCGGCAACCTCAGACAGAGCAGTGCTGCAAGCCTCCACAGGGCCAGACTGCCCATGCTTGGGGCTGCTGTCTTGGATTTGCTGCATCGGGGGCAAGATCCCCATGCTCACTTTGTGAAAGCACTGTTTTGGCTAACAAATGCTTGATGATGCAAGCAGCCTAAACTATTATCGTGTAAACCATCAACCAAGCTTTCAAAATAATTCATAGAGTTCTGTCTTTGGACAAACTGCAACCAAGATGGGAATCGGGGTATACTGCAACTCATGTGTCTGTCAGCTTACAAAAAAGTATGTTTTCACTTACGAAGGCTGAGAGAGAATCTTCAGCTTCTTCTCGGTTTTTTTTTTTTTTTTTTCCCCAGGCCAAGAGCATATTTTTCCATAAGTTAGCTTTGTCAGGGCTGAATTCAGAATACCTACCAAAAAAGTTGCTTCTTGATCATTCCACAGCTTGTATTTCATCCTGTGGCTGAACCTGTACTGGCATCTAATATTACTCAAGAAGATGCTGTTTGTCACTTTATAAAAGTATTGCATTTTTAGGATAGCCTCACTTGTTAGTGTGAAGACTCCTTTACAGTTCTGTAATTTTTTTTTGAGAAGTGCAAGTTTGTTAAAATCGATCCTCTTCCATTGCCTGCTACCATAAAAATAAACTTTTAGCATTTTAAGAGTATTGCTTAACTTTTAGATAAAGGGATTATTTGCAAGTAAATTATAATTGTCTGAAGACTATGTCCCCTAAAGATCCACAGTTATCTAATCCTTTTTCATTGAGAGATCAAAAATATGTTGGCAGTTGAAGGATAAAGCACAGCATATAGTGCTGTCAGTGCCTTGCTCCCTTGGGCCTCATGGGAGTGACTGAAAGCTCCAGAACTTTGTAGCAAGCTTCTGGCTTTAGCATGGGACTGCCTGTGGTCTATGGAGGGTACTTCTCTCAGAGCCTTCTGTTCACTTCAGGTAAGTTACTTTCGCCATTAGATTTCTTTAATGCAGAGATTTTTTTTTAAAGAGATTGCTCAGGAATCATAAAACAATCAGTACCAGCCATGCTATAATGTGCAGAGAAAGAAATATATGCAATTGCTATTGTTACTGTGTTTCCAATAGGACGTTTTATCAATGGTGGCAGAGAGAAATATAAAATGCTAAAGGTGCTTTTGTACCTCTTTCCTTGGATAGATCACTACAGGCTACAATTTAGAAGATGACCGTTGTGAATGTGTAGCGCTTCAAGATTTCAAAGCCGGAGAACAGGTAGTGTGAACAGTTATCTGCATAAGTGTTCTTTAATTAAGTTTTGTGGGCACTTAGTAATTCCATACAGCATTTTAATAGCAGAGTAGGTGTGGATTAAACCCTGCTACTTTAGAATGTTATTATGGTGAGTTAATTTTGTGGGAACGTGCTACCAAACTAAGTGCACATTTTTCAGAATGAAGTATTTTCTGTCACTTGGTAGACCCCAACTTCAGAAGAGTTTTGATTCCTCATATTTTAGAGAACTAGTTGAAATATTTAATCACTGGTAAATGCACATACATAGGCACTAATTTTGGTATTCTGAAATAGGTTAATAAATGGCCATATCGAAAGGACCAAAGATAACTATATTTTAGATTTCGGGCATCACTTTGAATGGAATAGCAGATTGTAGAGTCTTTCTTAACAATGTTGTTGGTTTGTTTGTTAGTCTTCATTTAACAAGAGGAGAAATGCAATGTGGTGGCCAGTCATTTACCCATGTTGTCATTCCCATACTTCATGAAAATGAGAAAGGACCTAAAAATGTACTTACTCCCTTTCACACAGACATGCATGTACACACCCCTTCATCCTCAAGCAGCAGGTACCAAGGGAGAGTCTTACAAAGATGCATGAGACAGTTCAGAATCCAGTATTTTGTTCAAAGCTGCTAAGAAACAAAAATGAGTGTTAAAACTAGTGATGGATTGAAGACAGTGGTTCCAGGAGTGTAGGAAATCTCCAGTAGGAGAGTTCCTGTGCTGTGTCAGCAGCCAGCCTAAACCCACAAGTGTAGTAGCACTCTGTTTTTCCTACTCATTGTGTAACTGCAATCAGCATGGCCAGAAAAAGACTTTGTCTATGAAACATCCTGCATCTCATGAGTTATTACCTTTAGAGTATTATTTTGCCAGTCTCACACTTTATAGTCTTTTGATTTTTCTTATATATTGTTACCTTCTTCTTTTTAACAAAAATATGTCTGAAATTTTATTTTTAAGTATGTCTTTCTAGAGGTATGTTTATCCTCATTGCTATGCTGAGTTTTACAGTGATTGTATGGGTTTTGTGTTGCTCTTAGAATTTGTTATGGTAGTCAAATATTTGCTGTTTTTTCCAGTACTGGTATGATGAGTTAAAAGGGGTCCACAGTTCTTCCACAAGTGATCCAATTTATAATTTTCCACAGCTGGCAGTGGATGTGTCACATAGCTGTTCTGGCTGCTCTCTCCATTTCAATTATAGAGGCTTCTTCTATTTTGATTTTATTTTAGTATTTTCACTTTGCCTGCTATTTATCAGTTTGGGGTTTTTTTATATTTCTGTGCAAACTTTAACTGTTATTGACATCATTAAGGCACTTTAATTATATAATGCTTCAGTCTTTTAATGTACTGTGCAGATGTTATTTCTTAC